TCATTTGTTACATCTTGATGATCATTTGTTACATCTTGATGATCATTTGAATCATATTCACGTTTTTTACGCTTTGCAATATTATTATTCCTATGAAAAAGACAACAAAGAAGACTTTTTTTTGTTCTAAAAGACAACATTTTTTAAACGAACTTGCTACGTTTCGATGGTTTTGATTTATCGGAATCATCATCATTGGACCTACAAGTAAAAAAAATAATATAAAGATAATTTGAAATATCAAATAAATTACTCAGATGGTTTTTCATCATCATATGTATCATCGTCATCGTCTTCATCGTCATCATCAAAATCTTTTTTGTTACCATTTTTGCTTCCCCTAATATAAACATGAAAGAATTGTTTTGTAGAAACAAAAATATTTCTTAATTAAATAGAATTATTTATTGTTTTTTATACCTATTATAACCGTTAGAGAATGGAAATGATTGAGATAAACCACTATAGAAATTGGAAGAAGATGGAAATCCACTACCGAAGCTACAAAGAAATATAATTCATTGTTTTTGATAGTATTCTTTGATATTTTTTTTAATATAATTGAAATAATATAAACTATTTTATGAATAACTTGTATAAACAACGGTCTTACCCGAGATCAAAACCAAATGGATGACCAAATGAGGGTTTGAAGCCAAATGGTTGACCGAAAGATCCACTGAAAAGTGCTGAGGGTGTGCCCATAGATCCTAAAGATGCGCCAGCAGATCCTGAAGGTTCGTCGAAAGGTCCAAACCATGGAGCACCAAATATAGGTGGCGGACCAGGAACTATGCATAAATTAAGTGAAAAATAAGATGAGATACAATTTTAAAAAAACTTACTGAATGTAGCTGGTATATTCATAGGAAGAGGTGGAAGTAATGGTCCGTCAAGTGGTATTGGAAGAGATGGAAGAATGGGAGGTATAAAAGATGGAAGTGAAGGTGTTGAAGGAGGTGTTGGTGATGTTGGAAATGTTTGAAATGTTAGAAATGTTGGTTGCATGATTGGTGATGGTGGAGACATTGGTTGTGATACTGTTGGTTGTGGAAACATTGCTTGAGACACGGTTCGTTGAGGAAACATTAGTTGAGACACAGTTGCTTGTGGAAAGATTGTTTGAGACACTGTTGGTTGTGGAAACATTAGTTGAGGTGCTGATGATTGTGGAAACATTGATTGAGGAACTGATGGTTGTGGAAACATTGATTGAGATGTAGATGATTGTGGAAACATCGATTGAAATGTAGATGATTGTGGAAACATTGATTGAAATGTAGATGATTGTGGAAACATTGATTGAAATGTAGATGGTTGTGGAAACATTGATTGGAATGTAGATGATTGTTGAAACATTGGTTGAAGCATTGGTGATGGAGCGACTTGTGATGGAAGCCTACAAAGTAAAGAAAAGAAATACATATAGTAAGGTTAAAAATTTATGACATACGACATGGGTGCAAAGAGAGGAAACATTGAAGGAAACATTCGTGATGTCATTGGAGAAACCATTACTGGAGCGGTCGAAGGAGGAGATGGTGGACTAAAAATAAATAGATAAATATACATCTGAATCAATATGTTAGAAATAGCCTACGGAGTTGGTGGTGGAACAAGTGGACCTGCAATTCCAATAGGACCGGTAAAACCCGGTAACGGAACAACACCTGGAACAGATGGACCTAACAGAAAAATACAAGTTAGAGATAAAACTAAATTCAATATCAAATAAAACAACAGAATCACTTACCTAAGGGTACATCCAATTTAGTTAGAGACGGGAATGGATTACCATGTCTGAATAGTTTCTTGCGTTCAATTGTCGAACGTTTTTTTCGTCCATATGAATAAGATGATCCACTTTGATAGTTGTTGTTACTATAGGATGAAGAACCATAACTGTTATCATCAGCTGAATAAGGAGCTGTTGGCCAATCACAAACATTTATGAGTGCATTCCAAACAAGCTCAGGTGGACATGGCTTAACAAACATGTGTTCAAATGAACACTGAATGTAACAATGTGGATAACCAGGTAATGGATAATATTGTAGACTATTGAGTGTACATGGATTTTTCGGTGGTTCTAGAATAATAATAGAAAAAACAGAATCATAATGAGTTTCAATGATTCAAAAAATCTTACGAGGTCCGCATTTAGATAGATCAAGTTTTTCTGGATAATAGTTAAGATATTCGCCTGTTGCTTGAAGACCATAAGGTAGACCAGTTAATTCAAATGCAGCAGTTGCGCCATAACTACCACTTTTGCCGTGTGATGAACCATCATAACTACCACTGCTACCATAAGATGTTGATCCAACAGACTTCATGGCATTGCCAAATGCTGATGATCTACCACCATACTTATCATTGTTTCCAAGAGATGATAACTCACCAGATTTCATACTACTACCATATAATGATTCACCACCGTACGATGTTGATCCAACAGGCATCATGCCATTGCCATATGACGAGGATGATTCAGCAGATTTGGTAGTATCACCAGAGGATGATGCACCACCATTACCATAAGATGACGAGCCAACAGGTTTCATACTATTACCAAATGATGATTTACTACCATACGATGTTGATCCAGCAGACATCATACCATTGCCATATGACGAGGATGATTCAGTAGGTTTGGTAGTATCACCAGAGGATGATGCACCACCATTACCATAAGATGACGAGCCAACAGGTTTCATACTATTACTAAATGATGATTCACCACCATACGATGTTGATCCAGCAGGCATCATACCATTGCCATATGATGATCCACTAGGCATCATGTTGTTGCCATATGATGATGATCCACTAGGCATCATGTTGTTGCCATATGAGGATAATGATCCACCAGACATCATATTGTTGCCATATGATGATGACGACGATCCACCAGGCATCATGTTATTGCCATATGATGATGATGATCCACCAGACATCATATTGTTGCCATATAATGATGATGATCCACCAGGCATCATGTTGTTACCATTTGATGATGACGATGATCCACCAGGCATCATGTTGTTACCATTTGATGATGATCCACCAGACATCATGGTGTTGCCATATGATGATGATCCACCAGGCACCATGTTGTTACCATATGATGATAATGTTCCACCAGGCATCATGTTGTTGTTATATGATGATGATCCACTAGGCATCATGTTGTTACCATATGATGATGATGATCCGTCAGGCACCATGTTGTTACCATATGATGATGATGATCCACCAGACATCATGTTGTTTGCATTTGATGATGATGATCCACCAGGAATCATGTTGTTACCATATGATGATGATGATCCACCAGGCATCATGTTGTTACCATTTGATGAAGATCCACCAGGCATCATGTTGTTACCATATGATGATGATGATCCAGACGATTTAGTATCAACATAAGATGATTCACCACCGTTACCATAAGATGATACACCAACAGGTTTCATACTACTACCAAATGATGATTCACCACCATACGATGTTGATCCAACAGGCTTCATGGCACTACCAAATGATGTTGATTCACCACCATAATTTTTATTATTACCATATAATGATGAGCTAGCAGTTTTGCTTGTATCAACATAGGATGATTCACCACCATAGTTGTCATTTCTATTGAATAATGATGAGTCAACCGATGCGATGTTGCTACCATCAGATGATCCACTACCGTAGTTGTTGTTGTTACCGAACAATGATGAGACAGTAGATGTTACGGTATCACCATTGGATGATCCACTACCAGTGTTGTCAGTATTACTGTATGATGATGAGCCGACAGATTTTGTAGTATCAGTGTCGAATAATCCACCACCATATTTTTCATTGTCACCATATGAAGATCGAAAGTTACTATTTGTATTATATGGTGATGCACCGTAGTTGCCACGATCAATTGAACTATCTTGTGCTGATGAAATACTATTGAAGTCGTAGCTAGAACTACCAGGTTTTACGAAGTTGTAAGTTGAACGAGGGTGCCCACCAGTAGATGATGATGCAGTTGATGGATCTTCACTGGCCCATTGTTGATCGCTTGTACTATCAGTATTCATTTTTGAAAAATCATGTGTACCGGACATTACTGTTGAGGCTTGAGTTGGTTTCATGTTGTTCATAGATCTATAAAATAAAACAAAGAATGTTTTTTCAAAGAGAAACAAAAAAAATACTACATACTGATCAGAACTTTTTTCTCCATAATATGAATCAATATCAGTTTGTGTTTGTACACCTTCATTACTGGAACTACCAGATGTTGATGGTAATTGATTTAAAGATGAACCAAAATAATCATCTGAAGGAGTTTGTTGTGAGCTGTGCTTATTGTATGATGAAGTTCGTTGAAATTCACCTGCACCATACATTAAACGATTCTTTCCAATGATTACTAGACAAATAAAAAGTCATTCAAATATTCATCAATAATTAAATAATATTTACTTGGACAAAATTCTGATTTTTCTGGAAGTTTATCACAATTAATTGCTGAAAGATCAACATTACTACATCGATTTTTTATAGCTATTCGAAAAAAAAAAGAACAAATGAATTTATGCAAAATTACAATATATTAAAATAAATATTTTTACCTCTACAGAAGGTAGCACATGGAAGTATTGGTTCAACATTACATGGTGGAAAAAATAATGGACATAAAAATAAACGCATATATGAAAAACATCCAGAATATAATGTTGGTCTTAATGAAAGGAATAATTCATTTGCTTCTTGTTTTGTTTGATGACCAAAAAAGTTCGGTAATGAAAATGTCGTTTGTGGTAATACCGAGCAATATGTTGAGAATAATGGATAAACTGAATCAATAATATTATAACATACATCTTCTCTAACACCACGATTTCCACTAGTAGCAGCAACAGCAGATAGAGATGGAAAGAAACTATGTTGTTGTATAGCACCACTAGTTAAATTAATCAAGAAAAAGTCAGTTCAAAAAAAAATTTTCTTTCAAATAGATTAAAACGCACTCAGTATCAGTAAGTTTTGTCTGTTGTGTAATAGTCGGTTGAACGATTTGTTGAGCAGTATTAGCTTGTCCAAAATCAGCACTGTATTGTGGTACAATAGTTGATTGTTGTCCGAATCGTCCATAGGGTCCCATTCCTGAATAACCACCCCAACCACTCATAACTGGTTGTCCATAAGCGACTGGTTGTCCATAAGCAGCTGGTTGTCCATAAGCAGCTGGTTGTCCATAAGCGGCTGGTTGTCCATTAAAATTGATGCCCCATAGGCCGACTAAAAATAAAAAAATAATCAATAAATTTGACCTTAAAAATAAAGAATAGAGTTAAATATTACCAGGATTATATTGTCCAGTGACACCAATTGCCAATAGAAGACACAACAGCAGTTTCAACTGAACCTACATTATGAATATGATTTTAGATTTTGAAATTCGAAAAAAACAAAAAAAAATTTAATGTAATTCAACCTGTTTCATTTTGGGGTTCAATAGAAGACCGACGTCGATGTCGATAATACGCATAAAAATGATGATAAACAAATCGTCACTTCTCTCTTATTTTCTTCTTTCTATCTAATGCGCGCGTTTGCGTCCGATATAGATCGCGTTCGTGTGCAAAGTGAAGCTGAACAACGACAATAACACGACTTTTCTAGATTCGATTACAGGGAGGAGGGTAATGATATCACTCACTCTCTCTTTGAATCTATATAGAATTAGTAAAATTGACCTCGATCGCCTTTCTTTGATACATCTTTACATAATGATATATATATATATATATATATATATAGATAGATGGATAGAAAAAAGCATATGAACTAAATAATCCCTCGATTATAAGAAAAGAAGTGTATTTGTTTACAAATTGAATAGTCCGTCAATACAGAGAAAAAGAAAATGTTACTGTTATATACTTCGATTGCTATTGTTCGAATGAAATAAACTATGTGACTATTTAATTCAAGGTTATCTGACGTCATTATTATTTTCGAGAACAAAAAACAATGATCTAATTCTAAAGTATATTATTCTATACATATTTTCCAGTACAATTGCTTTATGATTATTTAATAAATAAATTTTTAATTCATCCGATTTATTGAATAAAAATAAATAAATCGATTCATAATAAAGAAAAATAAATAATCAATTATTAGTAATAACTTCAAAATAACAAAAAAGAGTCATATCGATTGAAACATATAATCTTTTAAAACCTTGTAGAAAAAGAAGAATCTCTATTTGATAATCATCATTTTGTTAAGCACGTATTGTTTTTCTGAGTCAAATAATATTGACAGAAACAAAGCAGTATGTTTTCGTGTTTTTAAGTCCGAGAGAAATTTAATCTTAAAAATACGTACATTTTACGACGAATAAAAAATTAAGTATAAAAATGCTGATATCAAAAAGGAAAAAATAGTACATCTCGAAATCGATTTTTTTTCTTAAAAATATGTTATCATCTTTGTAAGTGATTTTTATTATGATGTAAACGTTTATTTTGTTGTTGTTTTTCTTCTTCTTAATAATATTTCAAGACCATTATTATTTATTATTAGCAATTTATTCATTAATTTTATTGTAGGACAAAGTTAGTATAAATAAATAAAACAAATCTTATTTAAAAAAAATAATAAGCGATTTATTTTATTATAAAGATGTTAATAATAGTAGATCTATAATTTCAAAAGCATGCGAATGTTATAATCAAGGTATTTGTGATCCATATACAGGATCATGTATTTGTCCATCAGGTTATCTTGGTCGACAATGTGAACAATTAGAATGTACGATTCATAAAAATTTCTTTTTTTTTAATTATTATTTCGTATCACTTTTGTAAACTTTAGCAACAACTTTATGTAATAATGTCGTATGCAAAAATTCTGGTGCATGCAATATAATCTCACCAACTGATTCAACTTGTTGGTGTTTGTTAGGTAAAAAAAAAAAAGAGGAAACAAAGCCAAAGTATTGTAGAGATTATTTGAGAGATGAATTTATTATAGGTTTTCATGGTGAATATTGTGAACGACAAAGAGGTTAGTTTGAAATATTTTAGAATATTATAAATAATCGATTCATTTATTTGAAAAAAATCTATAGCTGCTTCACGTTGTAATGAAATTCAATGTCAAAATGGTGCAATGTGTTATGAACATTCACCTGCAATGAGTGTTTTTGCTTATTGTCTTTGTCCACCAGGATTTACTGGAAGATTTTGTGAGACAGGTTATTATAATGAAGGAAATATGTTAACAATATTTTTGATTTTATATATTTTCTTTGTTTTAGAATATTTTCGTTGCTCACAAGTAGGTACTTTTGTTGATCAATATCAATGTGCTCAAGGTTCATATTTTCTTTGTGATTATACAAGTAAAAAGAAAAAAACATCATCTAATAAATTTCATTAAGATTTATTTCTGTTTCTTGTTTTCTTTTTTCTAGATCGTCTTATTGTTGGTACATGTCCAAAAGGACTTCGATTTAATTTGAATAAAATGTCTTGTGATCATGCCAGTTCTGTTACATGTCCTAATATTTAAAATAAAATAAAATAAAAAAAAAATAAGAAAAAACGAAAGAAGGAGAAATGATATAAACAGGATTAAAATATTATTATCATTGAAAGTATATTTTTATTATCCTTGATAGTCTGAAATTTCAAATCGTTGTTGAAGGTGATATTTGTGTGTTGTTATATTGAAGTTAACAAGGAAAGAATATATTTGTTCATTTTGTCTACTATGATGTTATTGAAAAGAAATTTGTTCAACCTTGAATAATCATATCATATTTATGTGGGTGAATTACATACAATAATAAAAAATATCGTATATATATTTTTTTCAGTTAAATTCAGAAGGTAAAATTTGTTATACATAGCAGTTTGAAAAAAATTAACCAAAACGAAATGTTCTCAAAATTTTTAAACTATCATTTAATATGCGTATTTATTATATTAATGATTTGTCCATATATTCATGGAAGTATGTAAAAAAGATAGAAAAAGAAGAAAAAAAATAGAAAAATATCAATTTTATTTTATATTTAGAATGTTCATTGAATTGTGAAAATAGTGGTGGACGATGTCTTAAAACACAAATACCAACTATGCCAGAAATTTGTGTTTGTTCAAATGATACATATACGAATTCAACATGTACTGATGTAGAAAATAAAAATGAACATGAAATTAATATGACATCAATGAATATTCACGGTCTGTTATTTAATGTTAAATGATGCTTTTTGTCTTCAAATGATTTGTTTCTAGCTCGTCGTTTAATTGCTGTTTGTGAACATTCATTTTGTGGTGATGATGGTATTTGTATTGTAATTGATTCAACATTTGGATGTATATGTGCTGATGGTAATATTGCAGATAGATGTATTTCAAATACAAATATAGGTGTTGGTACGTAAATAGATGAAAACAAAAAAACAGAAGAATTTTAATAACGAGTTTTTAAATTTAAGCTTCATATTGTGCTGTGGGATGTTTAAATGACGGTGTATGTAATCCAATATTAGGTACATGTACATGTCCAAGTGGTTTTTCGGGTACACGATGTGAAATAGCACGAAGTAAAATCGAAATTTTAAAGAAAATATAAAAAAAAAAAAGAAATTTATATTTTAATAAGGTACTGATCTTTGTCGAGATATTGCCTGTCGTAATGGTGGCGTGTAAGTTCAAATAATTGGTTTTTGTTTTTTGAAAATAATTTTTATTATATTTTAGTTGTAATATTATAAGTCCAACTTATGCGACATGTTGGTGGTATGTATTTATAATATAGTTTCTATTTTCAAAAAACAAACTTCGATTTGAATAGTTTATTGGGTTTTCATGGTGATTATTGTGAACGACGATCAGGTATGTTTTTTTAATTTATATTATTGTTCTTTCAAAAAAAAAAATAATAATAAAGAAAAAATAAATTTATTTATGAATTAAAGTTGCACCAAGATGTGCATCCAGTAGATGTTATAATGGAGGTACTTGCTATGAACATTCACCAGCATCATCAATATTTGCTTATTGTTTATGCAAGTAAGTTTATTTTGTTGTAGAAATTTAGTTTTATCCTTCTTATATTTAATTATTATTTATTTAGACCTGGTTTTACAGGTTCACGATGTGAAACTGGTAAGAAAATTTTATTTAAAAAAAAACAAAAATTCATATTTATTTGTTTTTAATTTTAATAGAATATTTTCGATGTCCAAATAATGGTTATTATGCTGATGCATTTGGTTGTGCACAGGGCAAATATTTTGAATGTGTTGAAAAAAGTTTGTTATTGATATTTATTAATGAAATTATTTATTGAATTTTGTTTTGTTTTGTTTTTTTTTAGCAATTATTGTTTCTCGTTCATGTCCACGAGGTCTTCGCTATAATTTCTTTCTTGGTCGTTGTGATTATGCTGTCAATGTAGCTTGTCCTGCTTTATAATAAACATAAAGACCATTTTTTTTTCTTTCATTGTTTCTTATCTTTCTTTGCTTTTGTCTTTAATTTAAATAAAAATTTTTTATTCCTAAACTATGCTTATTTACATACGGTATACCCATCACACAAATGAAGTGAAACAAATGATGAATTGAATTGACAAGTACAAAATGTATCTGTTTACAATAGAGACAATATATATATGTATATATATGGATGTATATATATATAAATAGGAAAGCACATTTAAAATTAAAACAAATAAAAACAAACTCGAACACAAATGTAATCATCTATTACAAAATTGAGTGTTCGTTATTTTTTTTCAACCGGTTGGTAAAAAAATTTTATTATCATTATTTTCTTTAGGATTTTTTTCGTTTGGTTTTGTTGAATTTTCATGAAGCTCATCAGATGATGTTATAGGACGTGAACGAATATATTCAGGACTTTTATTTGATTTAACAGCTTCTTCATCAACACGAACACCGACAATGTCCGATTCGGGAATATCAAACATGGGTTGAAGTAAAATACGTTCCTATGAAAAAATTAATGTTTTATATGATAGATAGATAGAAGAATTTTGAAAACTACGTACTAATATTGAACGAAGACCACGAGCTCCGGTTTTACGTCGAACAGCTCTTTTAGCTATTGATCGAAGTGCACCATCAGTAAAATCTAATTGAACCTAAATTTAAAATAAGGTAATCTTGTGTGAGTAATAAATCTTTATCAAAATGAGTCGCATCTCATTAGATGATAGATCTTATTGAGACTAGTGAAAGTCTTCGAGGATTCGTGTCTATGAGTTTTTCAAAAAACTACTCTGCTTTTCGTCAGATCAATACAACCTATCGAAATTCTAAAAGAGTTCGTGCCCATGGGTCTTTGGAGCCGAATTATGACCGTTTCACTGAATTTTTGATTCAGCTTTAAATATTTACTGAAAAATCAAATAAAGGAGTTTTGATCTGAAACTTTGCTCATAGATAGGACTCAGAGAATATCCTGAAAGTTTCAGTCGAAAAGACTTTTCATTTGTCGAGATATTAAATTTTTCAATAAACTTAATTTTTATGGCATATCTGTGATAAACGGTCATTTTGTTTTTGGGAATTCAATATACCAACAGAGGAATATTCTTTTTGGCTGAAAATTTCAGAATATTCTTCAAGTCCGATCTATGGACAGAATTCAGATTGAAATTCCGTTATTTAATTTTTCAGTAAATATCTAAAAGCTGGATCGAAAATTCAATAAAACAATCATAACTCGACTCCAGAGAATCATAGGCACGAACTCTTTTATAACTTTTCTAATCTTATCAAGATCTTCTTATGAACTCAAACGGTGCGAGTATCAGTTCGGGTAGTCCTCTCGTGAAGATTAGCGTGTGTTTTTTTTAATACTATAATTAAAAACGAAAGTTTTATACTAAATGTGGACGTCTTTAAAAAAAGAATACACTATGCGCTATTAGATCAAAGATCATTGATTTGAAAAGACATAATTGGAATGAGAAATGCACTTTTTTAAACAAATCTATTTAACTAATAACAAAGATTAACCTTATCCATTTGAAAAAGTGCTTGATATTGAGGTACATAAGCATTTCGAGGTTCAGTTAAAATTCGTACAAGCATATCTTCACTTAAACAATGAAATGCAACAATAACAGGTAATCTATATTAATAAAATAAAAATTAAACATTCAACTCAAAAGAGAAAAACGTTTCTATTATATACCTTCCAACAAATTCTGGTATCATTCCAAATTCAATAAGATCACGTGCTTCACATTCTTGTAAATATTTATCAAGTTCTAAATTTTCTTCAGCAATCATTTTGTCATTTTCATCACGTTGTTCATGTAAATCAAGTTGTGTTGCACGACGTCGTGATGGTATTTCATTTAATGTTGAACCAAAACCAAGATATTTTTCTTTTTTACGACGACCTATTATTTTATCAAGACCTGTATATGCACCTGATGCAACAAATAATATATTTGTTGTATCAACTGGAACAGTTTCACCACGCATTTTTCGAGAATTTTTTTCTGGAACATTTACTACTGTACCTTCAAGCATTTTTAATAATGCCTAATAGAATAAAAAACAAATAATTTTAATTATTAATAATAAAATTTTTCATATACTTGTTGTACACCTTCACCACCAACATCTCGAAGTTGATGAATACCTGGTACACTGCCAATTTTATCGACTTCATCCAAAAATACAATACCTAAAATAATATAATTATGTAAAAACAAATCGAAATAAATATTCATTAATATAATATTTATACTAACGAATCCACGCCATTTTCATTGATGTTTTGTATACATATGAAGGATCTTATTCTAAGACAAAGTCTAAGAGGATTTAAGCCTATGTGACTTCTTTTGATAGATATAAATATTTGCAGTCTGATATTAAGAAAGAAATGAGATTATAAAAACAAACTTCGTATAACTCGCGAGAGAGTCATCCTAACACGAAAGAAAAAAAAATATTTATTTCGGTTGAAACTTTCAAGATACTCGAAGAACAATAAGATCTATTTAATAACAAAACTCTGAATCAAAATTCTTGAATTAATATTTTTCGAAGATATATGTCGATTGGTCAAAAATTTAGTAAAAGGATTGTAATTTTTGATCAGAAGGTCATTTCCTTAGTTTCATTCATATTTATATCTCTTCATGATATAGAGTTGTAACTTGTGAGAAGTTAGGGCAGTGTTGTATTCAGATTTTCTCTTCTGGTAGAGAGTCAACCTGATTTTCGAAGGGGCGCCATCCTCTTGACCTTCGTGCTGGTTAAACACTGAGTTAGAGCGATTCTGATATGAATTATACGAGGTTTATTTACATGATTTCTTCCATTTTATGATAGAATGAATACATTTATATCTATTGAAAGAAGCTACATCAGCTTCAATCTACTTAAGCATTTTCCTCGAATAAAGTCTTCCACATGTATTCAAAATATCAGCAAAAACGGCGTAGATTAGTTAAAACCCTTTCCTTGTAAATTGAAATGAACGAATAGACTTTTATCTTTATCTTTTCTCATAAAACATTCCTTCAAACGTATATATTAATTTTTTAGAATGGAAAAACGTTGAAAATTAAAAAGAATGTCGAAAACAAAAAATGTCTAAAAAAAGAATGACCTTTGTTACGAGGGTTATTGTAAGCTTTAAAATAGATTTCGTACTCGTCCTGTATTGTTTACCAATAATTTATTTATTCAGACGTTTTGCTAGTAATCGGACTATATTCTTCAATGTAGATTTTACCACAATAACAAACATAACTATATATAGACTTTTCCCCTTTCCTTTGTATTATGGGTACGGAAAAAGAAGACGGTAGACTGGACAAGGAATGACAATTATTCGTCATCTTCTTTTCTTCTCGTATCAGTATTAGAAAGAAAAGGAAAAAACCTATATATAGCTGTGTTTGTTATTGTTGTAAGATCTACATTGAAGAAGGTAGTCTGATGACTAACGAGATACCTCAATAAATAAATTATTGGTAAACAACACAGAACGAGTACAAAGTCTATTTCAAATGTCTAAAAATGATTCTATACATATTTAGCACATACTATTCATGCACAAGTACCAAAGATTAATATTCCTACACATTATCTATACAGTGTTGGTGGACGTGTATGTTAAAGTTCTATTCATAGGACTCTCGGCAGTTTTTTTTTTCTTTCTACAAAATGCATATTATTCTTTACAAATCAACTTAATTTTGCGAATCATTTATTCAAAAATACTTTAATGTAAACGTAGATTATCACAATCAACCCTAGAATTCATAAACTTGAATAACTAGTCTTTAATTTGAATCTACAATAACATATAATAATATAGATGATATCGACTGAATTATTTCTCATAACTCATAACCTTGAATAGTCATAATAACTGTGCAAATAGGATCAAACATATTATTTTCTCTTTGATTGTTATCAGAGATTGAATTTATTAAAAAACCACTTTATCAGCAAATAGCTGGAATTTTCCTTTGTCTGGTTTTTTGTTCTTATTTCTAAATTGAGTTTCATTAGAAAATCTATTCAAGATAAATTAGTATTGTTTTTTTTTTATTATCAAACCTTGTTGACATCGTTCAACATTATAATTTGCATCTTGAAGTAATTTTGCAATAATTGATTCGACATCTTCACCGACATAACCTTGAACAAAAACAAAAAGACAAGTAGACAAACAAATTATTCTATTATTTTCTCTATACCAGCTTGAGTAAGACTCGTGCAATCACATATAGCAAATGGCACATCAAGACATTTTGCAATTGTTTGTGCAAGAAGTGTTTTACCTAAAAGAAAACATAAATAATAAATGAAAAGAATTTTTTATTTTAACTTACCTGAACCCGTAGGACCAAGCATAAGTATATTACTTTTTTCAAGTTTAAGATCATAATTTTCATTATGTATAAAATCACTACCATATTTTATTTCTTCATTATTATTAGCATATTTTGTTGAACCTAAATTTTTATTATTATTACTTGAAATATCAAGTGGTACAGTATAAAACGGAATGCCAACATTAAGAATAAAACCAGAAAAATGAAAGTAAAAAAAATAAAATAAAATAAAATCCATTAGGGAAATTTTTACTTTATATACCTCGTTGTTGTTGATTTGTTACATTTATTAATGAATTTTCTGAAGTATTCTGTTGAGATTTTGTTGTTGACATATTATTATGCAAACGTTTATAATGATTATAAACAGCAACAGACATAACTTTTTTTGCATGTTCTTGACCAACAATATATTTATTAAGAAATTCATAAATCTTTACGAAAAAAAAAAAAAAAAGAAAATTTCTTTTCAACATATATTTTTAAATACTTTTTTTGGTGACGGTGGTGGTGGCCGAGTTTTTACTTTATCTTCAATAACTTTCTTTGATCCTTCATTATCAGATAAAATAACAAAAAAATGATTACATTTTTCACATTTCACAAATCTTGTTGAAGCTAATTAAAGTTTTTGTTTTTAATTTATATGATATGTTTTTTGTATTGGAAATAAATACTTACAAACAAGACTTTCAACATGTGAACATACATCACCACATTTTGGACAAAGAAATGTTATTTTACCTGAACCATCACTATTGCTACCTAAACAAAAAAGATAAACTAATTAACTGATTTATTTTCATTTCAAATTAACTAAAATTAAATTTATAAAGAAGAAAAACAAAAATCAAAGAGAATACCTTTGGATATAAATCCATATTTTCGTATATTTAAAACTTTAAAATGAATATTTATATATTGCTTTTGTTTTTTTTTTATCTATAATTACCTTTTGAACCTTGTCCAAAATCTCGTATTGTATATGAATTATTACCCGATCGTGCTAATGAAACATTTGATAATGAATATGGACGTAATTGTTGAAATTTAGATATTAGAAAATTATGTGTTCGTTGTGAATAATGATGTGAATTATTGACAAATACATCTATTCATTAAGAAAAACAATAATTTATTTAATTTACAGATTATTTTAAATCGTATTCATATATACCGAATTCACAACGAATAAATCGTGCTGTTAAAAGTTTTCTAACATACATAGATTAAGAAAATATTAAATATAAAATATTCTTAATTTTTTACTAGCAACATAAGTTATTCTAATAGAAAATACTTCAAGATTCTGAAAAACAAAAAAACATATTTTTGTAACTATGATAAAAAAAAGAACTGAATTATTCTTTTGTAATGCATTAACCTAGAACACATGATAAAAAAGAAAATCTGGATCGTCAAATATTTTTTTTTCATTCTATAATAGATCAAACTAAAGAGGGTGCTCGATGTCTCAACATAAATGATTGGGTAAAAGATATGAATATTTCGAGAGTTTTCACTTCCTAACAGTAATAGTTAGAAGACAATCAAATATATATATATTTTTTGAACATGTCAACAAATGGAATGAATTATTCGATGTATAAGTAAGATAAGATATCAAATGAATTTTTTTTTATTTAAATTTTATTTTTTATTTTCATATTTTTTTTTTTAGTACTGTTGGATATTCTCAAATGACTCAACAACAACAATCTTTCTATGGGCAAACATTTCAAAATGCTCTTTCACAAGTAAGATTATAGAGTTTTCAAGAATGATATTTACTATATCAATAACTACTATTCCTTTATGATTATTCAGTAAAGATTTCAATAGTAAAAGAATTTCTTTTAGTCAAAGTATAACGAAGAAAAATTTCTATAAAATAAATAAAGATTTATATTAATCAATAAAAGTCATTCATCAATGATTGAAGCGATTCATCACTGAAAAGAACTATTTAGAAAATAAAGAATTACCCATCAAAAAAGTTTTACGATACGGTTCTGCGTTTTGATTATATTATGTAAAGTGATGGTAATTTTTTTGGTACAGTTTACATATTATATTTACAGCAGTCTTTAGCAATATCATCAATGCATACATTTTTAGATAGAGAAAGCATTTCTTATTAACAAGAATAATTCTATTAATAGGTCATTTGCTGTATAGCTAATCTGCGATTGAATGCATATTCTAATTTTCAAATTTTAGATTACCAAAATTAAGTCATAGATATCAAAGAACCAAAAAAAATTTAAATTATTATTAGATATTTGCAAGCTTTAGGTTTAATAAATTTTACTCATACTGTGATGATTCTGGAAGTATAAAAAAATTGTAGTATGGTTTTTTTTTCAAAAATTTATTTGACAAGTTCATATCTAGAAGAATACAATAGCTGTGAATTGATCTTATGGAGAAGGAAACGCTTTGATTTAACTTGATATTTTACAGTAATGATAGTTGTTTTTTCAAAGCTTATTCTTATAAAGATATATTACTCTATATTAGATTGATGCACTCATCTATTTTCTTTTCATCTCTTTAAAAAGTAGATTTCTATATTGACAATAAACGTAGACAATTCCCACGCATTGTTATTGAAATTTCTATGATAATCAACATTTGACCAAAAGTACTTATCTTTATCTTTTTTTGGATTGTCAAACACAAAATATCTCTTTATGAACCAAATGAATAGAATATGTCGATACAATATATATTTAAAACTAATAGAAAAAAAAAATTAAATGAGTAAAATCAATTGTTTTGTGTTCGAGAAATTCAATGTTCTAAATTGTCTACATAAGGCTTACATTCAACTCAGTCTATCGGAATAATTCAATCAAACGATCGAACATTCTTTCATTCGAAAAGAGCTTCAACTATATGATCATTCGATATTGGTTGTTTTTTTTTCTTTAGCAAACAATTCCTCCATATGGTACATATCAAATGTATTCATCATCAATATCAAATCAACCACAATATAACAGTAAATTAATAAAACAAAAAATACAAAAAAAAAAAAATTTTCTTTTTCTTGAATAATATTTCTTATCAGGTTATGATCATATTATACGATCAACTGCTGAAACCCTTGCTGCATTTAATCAATCAACAGAAACATCAATGTTTAATAATCCTCAAGGACAATTTAATCGATCAAATACTCAACAATCTTCAAATCGTCGTCCTATGAAAAATTCCTTTAATACAAATAATTCAACACGTATGTATTATTGTGAAACATGTCGTATAGCATGTGGTGGTCATGCAACATATCAAGCACATTTAAATGGTTCTAAACATAAGAAAAAAGAACTTATTGCACAAAATCAACAAACACCAGTTAATATAAGTACTAAAACCGGTGTTAATATACTTCGATGTGAATTATGTGATATAACATGTACAAGTTCTGATGCTTATAAAGCACATTTAGATGGAAGTAAACATGAAAAAGTAAGAATTTTAATTAACTTTATAATTGTTTTTATTTTTGTTTCTATTTTTATTTTAATAGGCAATGAAATTACATCGTAAATTAGGTAAAACAATACCATCAACAGAACCACAAATATTAAATAATGTATCAACATCATCTCAAATAGATGTGAACTTACAAACAACAATAAATGAATCTCAAACATTAAAAAATGATGAACAAAAAATATCTTTATCACATTTATTTGAAAATAATATTAAACCAATTGGTGAAGAATACATTGAAACAACATATGATAATGCAAATAAACCAATACTTTATCATTGTAAATTATGTGAATGTAAATTTAATGATATTAAAGGAAAAGATATGCATTTAAAAGGAAAACGTCATCGACTTGCTTATAAAGTAAATTTATTAAAAACAAAAAGAGAAAAAAATTAATAAATGAAAATAATTCGTCGTTTTTTTGTTTTGTAGAAAAAAGTAAATCCAAATTTTGTCGTTGATAATAATACAAATAATAAATTAACAAGTTCAAAACAAAAACAAATTAATAATCATCAATCCAGTGATAATCATTCTAATGTAGAATATATAAATACTCAACAAAAGATGACTAGTAATAATCAAATAGATATTGATGATGATACAAGATGTTTAATGATGTTACATCAACAAATTATACCAACACCTAATTTAGTAAGATATTTCTTATTTATATATATGAAATTCGCTTTGAAAATTTTTTATCATAAGAATTTCATTGATTTTATATAATTTTAAAGTGAATAGTTCAAGGTAATTAACCTATGGTGCAAAAGTCTTAGCATAAAATATTCACTTATTTTTCGAACAATTAAAGACAACTGATTAGAGTTACAAAACCTTCCATTGTAAGGGTAGAATTGGACAATTATCATCAGATTGTTTCAAAAGGTTCAAAATAATGGTTACAAGAACACTACTTTTGGTTAATTTTATAGAACAAAATTTATTCTACGAAGTGTACTATTTACTTTTATATTTTTAAAAGTAGTTTTTTGAAACAATGATTTTTTTTACTAATATCGATTACCATAGAAACTAGCTCTTTAGTGAAAATGTATGGATGAGATTTCGCTTATTGTGAAATATCTTATTTTGTATAGAATGCGGTACTCTACAACAATGTTGAGTTGAAGCTGTTCTAAAACACAAATTAAGCACTGCATCAATAGAAATACTTTATTTTGCACAGATACAGTTTTGAACTTTTTCATAAAATTTATTGATAATTGTTCAATCTTAATACAGAAGAAAAATCTAAATATGTATTCGGAAATAGCAAAAAATTCTGACTCTGGCTCTAATCAGTTGTCTTTTCGTAGCCGACAAATGAGCGAATATTTTGTGCCAAGACTTTCGCGATATAGGTTATGATGATGCAAAAAGTAATAGTAAAAAATATCGATCCCCATTACTTGCTGATAGAAGAGTAATGAAAGAAAACTTTCTCTACCTAAATCTCTTTCAAATCGTATATAATTAATTTTTATCACATGTTTATAAACGAAACGATGCAGCAGAAAGCAGAAGCTTTCTTTAAAAAAATCCACACTTTTTGTGACATGTAGAGAAAACGACATAAAATGGCTATCCTTGTATCTCTTCGATAAAAAAAATTCTGAAACGAATATTTTTTTTTTCTATCAATCGATATGAAGTTTTCTCTAGACCGAGACCCGAAAACTAAAATTACCGGAACCGGGACCAAAAGAAAAATATAATGATACATGAATTATTTTTTGTTTTATTCTTTAAATTTTTTCATATTTAAGCTTAACATTATCGAACAGTTTGTTAATGCTGTTGAATCAGCTTTAAAATCTTGTTCAGAACGACTTCAAACATTTAACACATTGTCAACTGATGATAATTCTTCTACATCCGAAACAAATGCGTAAATTTGAATTCTTTTTCTTCCGTGAAAAAAAAGAACAAAACCTTTCTTTTTTTTTAATTTAATTATTCTTTTAGTAATCAATCACCATTAATGGGTGTATTTCGTATTGGTTTATTTGGAAAAAGTTTAATAATTAAAACCGATCGTTTATTTCATATAGTTGTTATTTGTGCAGAATGGCCAACAAAAACACTTTTTCAAACAATTGCAGCAATATTATCTGATAATCTTGATGTAAAAACAAAAAATTTTCTTTTTCATAATCATAATATAAATTTCCAAAAAAAAAAAAATAAAATAGGATACATGGAAAAATAAAATTCAAATTCAATGTCAAATCGATAAAGAAACTATAGAATTACAAACAAATACAGAAGAAGGAATAATGTGTATTTCAATAGCATTTACTTCATTTTCTATTCAACAACAAGATAAATCCGAAAGTAAAAATTTTGTTGTTGTTTTTTTAAATAAAATTTTAAAGAATTTAATTATCTTTAGATAAATCTGATGAAGTTTTATCGAAAATAAATTGTTTAAATGCATTAAATTCAATTCATTCAACTCGATGGTTTCAAGTAAAAATAAAAATTTTTTATTATTTATAAATAAAAATTGAGGTTTTTTTTATGAATTTATTAGAATCAAGTTAGTATTCGACAACATGCATCAGCATTAGTACGTTGTTTACGTTATAAAACAAAAGTTTCAACCAATTGGAAATCATTATCATCTGAAGTATAATTAATTATTCTTCTTTTTACTTTTCTTGAATAAGAATTTTTTAAATATTTTGTATAGGCTATTGAAATTCTTATTGACTATACTTTATCACAATCATTATCAGCTGTGAATGCATTTCGACGTGTTCTAGAATATCTTTCTGGTGGTTTAGTATTATCAAGTTAGTTTTAATTCGATTATTTTTTTTTTCAATAATAATGATTTATTTTGATATATTTAGATGGTCCCGGTTTACGCATGCCTTGGCACACAGATTTAATGAAAGATGTCTTAGAGAATCTAACAAATCAAGAAAGAAATGATATAACTCAGGAAGCTCAAGTAAATAAAACAAATAGAATGAGTTTGCCATTGCAATTTTAATAGAGTTCTTGTTTTGAGAAATGATAAAAGATGTGCTACTTCCTTTAAATTAGTGTATATATAGGAGTGTATAAAAGCTGATGCGATACCGTTCTCTGATACTATATCATGCGAGCTCCATTTTACTGCTTTATTAGGCTGTGTTGTGCTGTGTTGTTGATACCTTAAGCGGAAGAACATGTAGCCTAATGATTAGTTTCGCTCTATATATAGATTAACTGATAGTTATAACACGGAACCGATATAAGATAATGTTAAGTTTTGTGTATGTTCGGAAGTCTTTTTTTTTTTTTTATTAAGATTTTAATTCAACTTTAGAAGTGATTGAGAAAATTCTATTGAATGGAGTAGGTGGCTTCAAGAAGAAGTGCAGAAGAATTCTCGTGATTTCGGACTAAACATCGTCACAAAAAAAGCTAGGAGCCCTATTTTCAAGTGGATAGAAAGAAAAAATATGTCAATAGATGTATGAAATTACATTTGTTCAATTCGTTGCATAAATCAATCGTGTTCATTATAGAATTGGTCACTCATACAGTAACCTTATTTGTCTAATATTTCCAGTATTTCTAATATGTAGAATAGACTCTGTACGCATATGTCGCTATATAATAATTATGCATCTCTCAATATATCTACTTGAGGCACAGGTATCCCGATCGGAGAGAAAAGAATCGAAGGGATGCTCCTTCAATCTTGAAAAATTTTCGTTTTTCTTCAGGATCAATTTTAGCAAAACTCTTCCAACCGTCCGCCTAAGTCATCGACTCTGTTCTCCAATCCTAACAGTCTCAGAATATTCTTGACATGAGATAATATGGGAAACATGATAGATATAAGAACTATTGAAAAGGTCATAAATAATTATATCTGTATATCTCTTTCATCAATAATATCTCATTATCTTCTATATCTCTTATAACAAGACTTAATTGAATTTCCAGGCAATCTATAGAAGATATTATATGTTATATACTTTTATATATCTTCGAGAAAACATTTTCTTCAAAACAAAAACTCTGTTAGAGGTGTATAATTGTATTTATTGAAGAAATATGTTGTTTTTTATTTTTAGTATCCTTTGCTTTTTTTTAGATAGGTTTACGTTTAATGTCGTTTGGACAATTAACAAAATGGCTTGAACAATCAAATATTCATCAATTAATGGTCTCACTATCAAAACGTTCGTTACCTGATTGTGATGATCAAAGTAATTATTAAATTTTTATTGAAAAAAAATTTATTCTATTTTTATTTAGTTCGAGTAAAACGACAATGTACGGAATTGGAATAAGAGAAGAGAAAAAAAAACTTTTTTTTTTTTGTTTTTGTTTATGATTAAAATTCTAATAGAAAATTGTTATTATTGGTGATATATACAGTTCAACATTATATATATATATGTTCTTTACACCTAAACTAACTAAATAAAATAAGAAAATTCATCTGAAATAAAATTTATTATATTTCAAAAAGGAAAATAAAATATTTTCATTGTTTGACAATTTTGAAGTTCACAATATTCATAATATAATGGATATTTATTTGTTTTAGAAAGAAAAAGATTGATTTTTTTAATTTAAAAAAAAACAAAAGATTTATTTTGTAGTTGAAGAGTTTTGTTTTGTTTTTAACTTACGGTATGAAAATTTTCTTGAATAGTAAAATGAAATATATCAAGTTGTCCTTTTTGAAATGGTTTAGAATTATTTATTGAATAAATTAGTGAAATTTCAAATGCATATCATTTTGTATTAATTAATTCAATAAAAAATAGGTTCATTTATTTTATCGAATTGTAATTTTTTTTTACTAAGTTTTACTCGAAATTCATAATCAATTAAAGTATTCGATTTAATTGATGTTAATTTTGTTTTTATATCAATCGAATTTGTATTATAGTTTTATAGATGAGAAGATTTATTAATTTTATTTGAATAATTTAATGGTAAATTTAATTGATTTGAAGAAAGATTTGAACTTGTTTCTAACCAATCTTGAATTGTTTCTTGATTATAATCTAAATACAAATAGAAAAAACGAATTCAACATCGAATGTCTCTTCCAAAGGATATTGCAGTAATTGCTTTTGTAGACTTAATAAAACGTTATATACTAAAGTCAGTATATTTTCAGACTAAGATCATCTTATAAATCATAAAGTAAAAAACAAATCTCTCTTATGTGACTGTCAGATGGTACGAACGAGTTTTTTAAAAACTAATTTTATAAATTCAGTTTTTATTATAAAAACTTTGATTTTTTGCTTTGAGTGATATTTCTTAGCATAACATCAACCTATCTGATGAAACCGTTCGATAATCTTTTAAACGACCTACTGAATTATTGCGACATCATAAAGAAAGTGTCCTTTGGAATGGACATTCAGTCATAACGGCATAAAATATTCTATCAACCCATGCATAATGAAAGGACTATTTGAAGTACTATGGGGGAAGGGGGGTGAGTTCTTGGTTTTATTGAGTCCTTCTAAGGACAGTCGCACATCTCCTCAAGCTTGAACATTTTCCAATAACTCGAGAATTTCGTTCCACGAATGGTGCATTTACTGATTTTACTCCAATTCTAAATATTTCACGATTGTTCTAGCTCTACTCCGGGAGAGAATTCAGCAGCTACTTTCACGATGAGCCGAAACCACTAGCGAAATTATGAGAAGATTCTTTTGTTCTTTATACTATTAATTTTGCGGCAGTTGATTGAACTCATAGAATAGTGTTAAAAAATTGCAAATATTGTGTTCAATTGGTTCTTGGTATAATATGAAATAAATAAATAGAATTATTTGTAGGAGAAAAAATGTCCTCACATAAATTAAGAAGCGTCTCAATGAGATTAGCAAAAACCTAAAACAGTTCATCCCCATAGACTTTTGACGCTGAGTTAGGACCCGGTTTACTGGATTTTCGATTCATTTGTAGGTTGTCCCCGTTGTTCTCAAAGAATTCAATGACAAAGTTTCGATCTAAAATTTTGTCTATAGATAGGTTTAATGTCTCTTAGAATATCCTGGAAGTTTCACTCGAAAAAAAATCTTCTTTCGTCAAGATATTGAATTTACAAAAATAGTCCTTTGTCCCAGACATGTTACAAAAAATCAAGTTCACTTGAACATTCAATAAATCGACAAAGGAACATTCTGTTCGGCTGAAACTTTTAGGATATTCTAAGAGTCATTAGGCATATCTATAGGCAAAATTTTGAATCAAAACTCCGTTATTCGGTCTTTCAGGAAGTATCTAAAGATGGGTAAAAAATCCAGTAAATCAATCACAACTCGGCGCTAAAGCCCTATGGAGATAAACTGTTTAATGCTTTCTCTAGTTCCACTGAAATCTATCCAAGGATTCAATATGAGTTCAAACGGCAGATATTAGTTGGGATAGTTACCTCGCTAGGGTCCAGAATCTCTATTTTTAGCGATTTATCTTTTCTCCTCGACAGAAAAACCATCATCCGCTTTTAAGGGTTAAAGTTTATTTAGAAAATGAAATATATACTGTATTCACTAGTCGATGGTGTTAATTCATTGAGAATACTGTTTGCAGATGATTCCGATTCTTCATAAACTGTACTCATATGATCTATTGTAAGTAGTTTAATAGGTAAATTAGAATTAGTCGGAGTTATAATTGATTGTTTGTTAGATATTGTTGGATATTTAATAATATCAAATATTTCATTAGGTAAATTATGATTTTGTTTTCTTGCTGAAATTAATAAATTATCAGTAGTAGTTGTAGATGTATTTAATGAAGATTTCAAAGCATATTGTGTTAATATATGATTATCTTTTGAAGATAATTCAATAGTATTTGGTCGAGATTTAATTTCTTGTGTTAAAGATTCATTAGTATATAAATCATATTGTTTGGATATCATATCTTGATTTGTTTGTATTGTTTCATTAGTATTATTTGATGTTTTAAAGTCAATATCTAATGGAATATTATCAGATTTTGATTTATTCGAAGCAGAAGAATGTGAAATATCTTGAATATCACTAATAAAGAAAATAAACATTTAGTTAGCTGATTTTGAATTTGATGAAAAACAAACTTGTTATCTTTTGAAAGAATATCTTCGTTTAATTTGTTCATAGTTGATAGATCAGAAGTAATTATTGATGATTGAGAAATAAACTTTTGTTTATTTAGTATATTTTCAGATATTCTTGATATATTTCTTTGATGATTTTTACACGATTTTTTTGCTTTATTAGGTGATAATAATGATTTTGTTTGCAATGAATGTTCATTTCCATGATTATCAATTGATCTTTGAATTGAATTTTCATCTGAATGAGATTTTGTTGCAATTGTATGAATAGTTACACTAGAAGATTAGTCTTATTTTTTTGAGAGAATTATGAAAAACAAATCATCTTACGCATTAACATCATGAGTATTTGTTTTCAAATTGTATTCATTAAAATTTGGATCACTAGTTAATTGTGATTGTTTGAAATGATTTTGTTTTGTTGTTTGATTTGATGTTGAAAGTTTACTTAATTGGTTGGAGAGACTTTGAATATGAGTTGAATTTCTCGTAGGATTTGATGTCAATTCAGAGAAATATGATTCAGTAATTAATGGATTTGATGTATGTAAAATCTGATTGAAATGAGATGATGATGAAGAAGAAATATTTGATGATTTTTTATTAAAAACTTGATTAATTCGATTTGATAATATCTGAGATGGTGAAACACTTCGACTTCGTCTTTGTGAAATATTATTTTGAATTCGTGAATAAACTGGAACACTTTTTGATAGAATTGATACTGAATGATTTGATAACGGATTTGATGTTGTAACTTTTTGATGAGTTTTTTTAGGAGTAGATCTTATTGATTGTGTTTCTATGTTTTGTTTATTTATTAAAATCGGATTACTATTATCAATTCGTGATCGATTTGTTACTGTATTCATGCTAATAATATTGGATTCGAGTGAGATTTTATTATGAGATCCAGTTTTTTGTAATAAAATATCGAAAGTATTTGATGATATAATTGATGTTTTTGATTGTTTAAAGTTAGTTGTACTTGCCTTAGTAGAATTACTTTGTTCAGATGTATTTGATGGAGTTAGACTTTCAATAAGCTTTAACATTTTTTCTGGATTATTAGTAGAATTTTTTCGTTTTATTCTTGACATTTGTTTCTGATCTTCTGTCCCAGCTTGTTTTGAACTTGATGAAAATGATGATCGATGAAATTTATTTTTTTTATTTGATCTATCGTTGATTTCATATTGTTTTGTAATTGATGCAAAATAACTGAAAAAAGAACTAATTAAGTATTTATTTGTAGAGTATACAGAGCAAAATGAGTCAAAACTGGCCATGACCATCTTTCATTTAATTGTAATTCTTGTTGAGAGTTATTTTTTCGTAAAGTTCTTTAACCAAGAATATATATATACATCAAAGTTGGTTCCTTCAGCTCACACTTCATCAAAATCAATTGGCACACAGTTCTCTAACTTTATGACAGAAAAGATTGTCGCAACTTTGGTTGAAAATAAAAATGTCAAATACTGAAGTGAAGAGTTCTGAATGTTTTCTCGTTCAGAACATTCAAAAACCGAGCAGCTAATTTTAAATCAAATGTTTATTACTGAAAAAGAAAGAATGAAAGAATATTTTGAAATATTAGTTTATCGATCTTAAATGATGTTCTTATTATACAATTATAACTTTTTTTTTATTTTGCTACGATAAAAGACAAACCGTTGAAGAGATCAGATGTTGTAATGAGATAATTATTATATCAATTATACAATATGTTTATTCGACTTTGTGATTCTGCTTTCATAAAATTGATCCAAACCCATATAATTGGATGATTTCGATAAATACGAGAATTTATTCTATTATGATAACCTGCAATTAGGATATGTAAGTGTGTCTTCTCTTCAACCACACACCTCGCCTCATAATTCGATATTGATCATGGAATAATAACATCTTCAAAAACAGTCTTTCTCTGAGAATTTTGCTTTTTGTTTTCATGAAGTTTTTTCGACATTTTTACTTTCAACCAAAGTTGAGTTTACCAATGGAAAAACTCAACAATTGCAGGATGGATTTTACACCACAAACTACATATATATTGGAAATTTTAGCAAGATCGTACTCAAAAAAAAGATGCCTCCCAAAAATCCATTCTGAAAAGGTCTTCTCATTTTTCGAATAAAACTTTTTGTTTGCTGTCATGTCAAGATCTTCCAGAAGGATTGTATACCATTTGGAATTAGTTTTTCGATTTCTCACTCTGTTAAAAAAGGGTTTTCTCTGTCTATATTCGTAATCATTAACGTAGCTAACCACAAATAAAATCAATTTTATCTAAAAATTTATAAATGTTCAGAAAAAACTTTGATTAGAGATTCTTTAGCCTCAATAGTCATCTACAGAATAGATCATTTAGTTTTCGAAAATGTTGTTTCAATTCGCGACTTTTTTTTAGCTGCAATGCATGTAGTGATCATCGATGTGTTTTTTGGGTTATATCGCTAACGCTGATTTTGTCAAGATATTTCGAGTAATTTAATATACGTATGATATATAAAAATTAACTCAAGGAAAGTTCATTATCCAGAGAAATATGCATTTTAATTTTATGAAGCCACATCACTAATGAATGAAATCTTTTGTATTTTTAGATTTACTTTTCATAACTGTAACGATTATTATTTAATTTTTTATTGATTGACAATTGTTGTACATTTAAATTTTTATTTCCTTTTTTTTTGCTTTGATTTTTGTCGAATATATTTGAATTTGATCGAATTTTGACATCCATCATTTTTGTTTGTAATTCATTTAAATATTGTTGAGTATTTGATGATAATTTTGATAGTGATAAACGATGAGGTATCTTATTTTTCTTTGTTGTTTGTGGTTGTTTTACTGAACGTGATGAACTTTTATTTGGTAGTAAATTTTCACGTGAATTCATATTTTTATCTTTCGATAATTGATGATTAAATTTTTGATTTTCATCGTCTAAGAATAAAACTCATATGATGCAAATGGAACAAAAACCATAGGTAGACTGTTTTATACAATGTGGGTTCTACCGAGAATCAACCAGTGGTAGTTTGATACTTAGTTGGTAAACTGTCTGCTGATCGTCAATCTACTGCGATATACCTGGAGATGCACCAATTCCTAGAACATGATGTCAAATATAATATTTTTCTCCTTATTAAAAATGTAGTTACTATGGATTGTTTATATTAATCACGATCAGATTTTTTTGCTCTATTCGAAGCTGTAGTCAAAATTCATGAAATACAGAACAACGATTTCAGAATCGGTCGAAAGTTCGCATTTTTTAGTTTTTTTCTAATCATTTCCAACTGGTTTTGAAACCTATGCTATGCATTAGACAAAACATAAGGATAGTTTCAGAAAGGGCGTTCAAAACTGATCACAACTGGTTTGAGGAATCGCTATGAGCTCAGTAATTCTAAATACTGAAGATATTCTAAATTTCGATTAGAAATCCAAGGAATTGATTTATCCCTAGTTTCAACAACGCATGTCTAGTATTGAGAATTACTGGACTTCTAGCGATTCTTCATGTCAATTGCGTTCAGTTTTGGATGTACTTTCCGAAACTATTCTTATGTTTTGTCTAATGTAAAGCACACATCTCGAAATCAGTTGGAAATGATCGAAAAAAAAAACTAAAAACTGCGAATTTTCGACCAATTCTGGAACCTTTGTTTTGGATTCCATGAATTTCGAATGTAGCTTTAGATAGAGTAAAAAATTGATTATGCCTGACATAAACAATTCATGGGAACTACATTCTTAATAAGACAAATAATATTATCTTGGATATTATATTCTAGGAATTCGTGTACCCAAAGCTATAACGGTGGTTAGAACTCGTCGGATTGGTCTCGGATTCGTTCAAGTCCGAATTCAGAAATGTTGGATCCGACGGGCTCTATCCGTAGTAATGAGAACAAACGGGGAACATGGATATATTTTTTTTTCTTTTCGTTTTTGGGTAAATAAATTCATAACTAACGATGTCTATTTTTAAGAATATTTGTTTGTGGAGTTTGTCTATTACTAATTAATTGCATTGGTTTAGTTTTATTTCGATATTCTTGAATTGTTTCAATTGATTGACGATATGAATTTGATTCATATGATGATGATATTGTTTGCTGATTAATAATTTTTTTTTTATTTTTAGTTTTAACACGATCACCTGGACGAATTTGTCTACTTGAATTATATGTTAATTTTTCTGAAAATGAATTTGTTTCTTGAATAAGATTTTGAGAATTTAACGACGGATTTGTATGATCTAGTACGAAAGAATCTTCTTCATCATTTTCAGAGAGGATATTTTCAGGTAATTTTTCATATGGTGATATCATTGATTGATTAGTAGAAGTTGTTATTGTTGATGGAACTGTTCCTTGTGATTGTGTTATCTCACGCATATTAATATCGGAAGAAAATTGTATTGATTTTATTAATTGATTTTTATCCGAATTTAGGAAATCATCTTCAGTATATCTGATGCTAAAGAAAGCAAATAAATGAAGAAAAAAAATTGTTTTATATTGATTGATCAAACTGATAGATTTTATTGCTTTTTGGATGAAATATTTCAATAAATTCTGGTTGATAGAAATAATCTTTATTTAATTTTGATCCAATTAATGAAAGTTTGATATTTTTTAACTAAAGAATAAAAAAATAAATTTGTTTTTTTCCTGATGTTTATTAACGAGAAAGCTTAAAACTTTTCCAAGATCTTTTATTGAATCGATAGTAAATGTATGAATTTGATTATTATCAATTTCATTAAGTATTATGATTTCTGATTGTTCATATTCATCAATTAATTCAATTTGAAGTTTAATATCTTGATCAAGAAATTCTTTATTTATTGTTTTTATATTTATTTTATAAGAATTTTTTTCTGAATTATTTTTTGAAGATTCGTTCATATGATGAATCTATTTTCGATAATAATAATTTATTATTAATAAAAGAAAAAAAAAAGATAATTAACTTACAAAATTACTTGAAAATTCATTTAAATGAATTATTAATTCATTATTTATATTACTTAATTTTTTATTTATATTAGCTTTATAATTTTTTTTTGAATTTTCTTCAATAATTTCAAATGTTGTTATTGACCACTAGAAAATTGAAAAATAAATAAGAATAACTTTTCTTTTTAATCTACTTCAGTTTTGATTTTTCCATCAATAGAAAGAGTTGCTGATTTTAACTATAAAAGAAAATTAATAAAGATTTTATTTGAATTTTGTTTTGGTTTTTTTTAAATACATTTCCAATATCAGGTATATTTAAAGAAAATGTATCGTAATTGTCTTTTTCAAATAAGTTCTTTGAATTTGTTTCGGATTTATGAAGATCAATCTTTTCTGATATGCCCTTATCTCCATGTAATTGTAATTGAACTTTAGAATCTGTATCCATTAAACTTGAATCACCGGTTTTTATTGAAACTGTAAAATTATTATCTAAAGAAAAAATTTTTTTTTTTCTTATTTAGTTTTATAAATTGAAAACTATTACTTGTTGATGGTTTAGCTCCTTGTAGCATATCCATTGTTAATTGATCTGTAAAATAAATTTGTCAGACTTCATTTTAGTTCATATATGAATTTCCTACCAAAATTTTTCTTAGCTGACATTGTACTTGAAATATTAGGTAACGAAAGTCGATTATGACTCGTTTTTGTTGATGTAGGATTTTTAATAACTACGATAAAAAATAGAAAATTATAAGTTTTTAATATAGAAATGATTTACATCGTGAAATTGGTTCAGCTTTTGCAATCATTTTTGGGTTTTTTGAATCGAGCATACGATTAATATTAAATCTAATAAATGAATAAAATAATGAGTAATCGATAAACAATAGGAGACTTAGGTTATTTTTGTTGTTGAAGAATACGAATACTGTTCAAAGATACAATTTTAATCTTAGTCGATAGAGAATTTTATGTTATAGGTTTTCAAGATGTTTTTAAGACTCTTCATACTATCATGCAGATTCAAAAGGCGTAGGACTAACGCCTGGCTGCATTTTTCATTGAATGCGCTTTCGAGACTCATGTTTTCAAATGTCAATAATTCCCTATGCACGACTTATTAGTAAGACATTAAATGAAGGATTTAATCCTGAACGACATGATGTAACAATTGAATCCAAAAACGAAAATCTTTCGATTGTTATGAATTCAAAACAAAGAAGAGCATAAAACTGCTAGAAAAGGATCTTTCGTATTATTTTTCAATTTTTGTTTGAAAAATGATTCTGTCAAACATTTTCTAAACACCATGAGGTGTACGATGTCATGGGAATACCTTGCAGCCTATTTCAAAGTTCGGTAGAACTGTTATTAAAAATATTTTTCATAACTATTTTGTTTTTTGATAGTTGCAGTTGAATAACTAAATGACTGTCAACCTTTTTTTGTCGATACAAAAAATTCATTTGAAAAAAACAAAGTCAAATATTGTATAGAGTGAAAAATTCTCTATCAAAATAAGATTTGAATAAGCTTGTACCAATTTCTAAAACGTAATGTCAAAGATGATCTTTTTTCTACATTAAAAATGTATCTTCTTATCGATTGTTTATACCAGCTCTGGTCAGTTTTTTATGCTCGATCCAATATTATAGTCGAAAATCATCAAATAGAAAACAAAGATTTTGGAATTGGTCAAAAATTCGTATTTTCTAGGTTTTTTTACGATCTGTGCCAGCTGATCTGGAGATGTGTATTTTGGATTGGATAAAACCTAAGAATAGGTTCAAACAAAACGTTCAAAACTGATAGGAAGACTCGGTAGAAGTTTGACAATTCTCATTACTCGAAATATTCTAATTTCCAATCAGAAATTCAAGGGACTAATTTAACTCTGCTCAAAAAACACGTATGCTTAATATTGAGAATTACCAGACTCCTAGCGATCCTTCATACCACTTTTGAGCGTTCTGTTTGAACCTATTCTTAGGTTTTATCCAGTTCAAAACACAAGTCTCAAAGTCAGGTGGAATTGGTCAAAAACAAAACTAAAAACTATTTTGCAACCTTTGTTTTCTATTCCATGGATCCCGATAACATCTTCCGATAGAACAAAGAAAAACAACTGATTAGGACTAATGTAAACAATCGATAGGGAGGTGTGTGCTTAAGAAGGGAACAACAGGGTCATCTTTGACATTATGTTCTAGAAATTGGTGCGTTCTTACCTTCTAGTAACATTTTTGAACTATATTTCTTGCCTTAGTAAAAAGAAAGAAAATCAAAGTGTCTCCATCTTTATGAGCTACCCGGTTATATTTTACTTATTTTCTCATATTTTTACCTATAAGAATCATTAGTTTTTAAATCATTGATTTCAATATAATCAAGTCCAAGTTTATGAATATTTGGATGTGTTATATCAATTTCAATTGATTGTAATTCACCTAATGATTTTATATTTTCAATATAATATTCATCTTTATGTCCAGGTTGAAATGTATTATACATTGTGATTGGATTATTTAATTCAATTTCATGTTTGCCTTTATTTCCTTGAATAAGTAATTTTATTGTTCGATCAGGTCCTTTTAATTCACTTGTTATTGTTCGAGCATAAATTATATAATCGGCTTTTCGCTCTAAAAATTTTATTTTTACAATTGAGTTCTGTTTTTTCAGAAAAAAAGAAAAATAAACCATTAATCGGTTGCACAGTTAAATTATTTGTTCCATCTTCTGTATTAACCCATTTATAGATTGGAAAAATATAATCCTAGAGAATTAAAAAAAAATTAGAATTCAATTATTACAAAGATAATTAAATAGAATCAAGTGAAAATTAACTTGTCCTTGTGTAATATCTCGTATAATAATTGTTTCAATAAACCATTTATCAATTTCACCATTTGGTAATAATTGTAAAGATTTGATTGGACCAACATAATATTTTGATGAAAGTAGAAATTCATCTGTTTGATTTTCTTGAAATAATATTCTTTTATTATCTAATGATTTTAATGTATATGGTTCAGATTTTCCTTTTTCACCTTTTAATATTATATTAATTGATGGTAATGTTGACATATTTGATAAACCTTTTTCACCAGTTTTAAGTTTTATTAAATAACCAGGTTTTTCTTTTTCTAAAAATAAATCGAAATGATTTTGATTTTTAAACACAAGAAGATTAACCGCATCCTTTTTCTCTACAGAATAATAGCCCACTGAGCTTCTAATTTGATTCGCAAGTGAAAAGTTTGGAAGTAAGCTTTTATTGCGATCAAATTGTTTTGAGTTGTAGCTATGATTTGATTCGCTTACAAGTATAGAAGTGCACAAGATCCGATAAATTGAAGCTTTCAGACTATCTGAGAACTTTGATCGTTACCAGCGAACCAAAAATTGGCTTCTCTACTTTTCCAGTTCCGTGTTATCAGATAACTTGAATGATGCGTTCATTATACTACTTTTCTCATTCATAACATTTATCTATTATCAGCATTTCGTAGATTTTAATATAGACATATTAAATTGCGCTTATTATGATACTTTGGTTTGAGAAAGTGTCGAACTTTGGAGAAGTTGAGAGAAAACTTTTATACGGCTCTGCTAAGCAACATCATCTTAGAAGCTTATGCACAATTCAGACACACAAGGAGATATATGTCAATTATCTTAAAAGAAATATAGAAAAAATTGTTTACTCTCAAATGAGAGCTTCTCATTTTTATGAAATGGGTAGTTCATATCTTCTGATTATTTCAATAATCAACTTTGTGAGATGTCTTATTTTTCGTTAGAGATTTGTTCATATTTCTATGAACTTAATAAAAATTTATATCGTTCTATTTCTAGACTGGTTATAATTCCAAATCGGAATAGTATTAAAGTATGCATATTTTCTATTCGTCAGTTTTTGAACAGCTATCTTTCACTAATGTCCATGTATACAAATTTTTCGACTCACGAAAAACAACTCGTTTGTTCGTTAATAGAAGGCACGTAGAACAAACGAAATGAGATGTACCAATAAATTTACAACTAAATAGCGATGAACTAATCTATTCGATGATTTGCATTGTTATTTTGTGCTCATTCGGATACATTGGGCTTCTATTCTGTTGGTGTGGAAGGGAGCATTAATAGATCATTACATGATTGATTCTTACATACCTTTATCTGTATCTGTCTGATCTAAAAGTATAGGAATACTAAATTTTAGAAATTGAATTTAAAAAATAAATAAGTAAATAAATTTTTACTCATATTTTCTGGATAGACAGTTAAATGTCTTATTAAATTTCGATTATCTGGATTTGAACCATCAAATAATTGATTAATTATAAATCTACAAAAAAAATAAAATAAAATACAATCAAATGACACTCTTTTTTGTTGTTGTTGTTGTTGTTTTATACTTATATTGATTTTCTGTTTGATCATCTTGAACAATTATATATTCACAAAACCATAATGGTTGCGTACCTTCAGATTGAATAAGTAATTGCAAAGAATTTATTTTTGCTAAATATGGCCAAATAAAATAAAATGTATCTAATTGATCAGGTTCAAATACAGAATTTTTAAAAGCTGAATTTGCACTAGATAAATTATCTTTAGTAAAAAATAACAAAATTTTATTATTAATTTTTTATTTATAAGAATCAAAAAAATGCTCACCAGCAAAATTTCCATTTTCACCTTTTACTTGTATAAATATTGATGAATCTGTAACTTTATTTGGTTGTTTTCCTGTTTTAACTTGAATTTTATATGTTGCAAAACCAATTTTTTTATATGGTTTTATTTGTTTAAAAGGTTTTGATGGTAAATGATTAACAGGACCAATATCACGTTGAATAATAAAATGAGTTTTTTTTTCATTTGAATATTTATCAAATAAACGATTTAAAGGAAAACGATAAATATTTGCAGCATCATCAATAATTTCAATCCAATCAACTTTCCATGATGAATATTGACTATCATGCCAAATTTCACTAGCATATATATCACCTAAATAATTTAATTCAATATTAAATAAATCAATTTGTCCTGATTGCCATTTATTTTTATTATTTGATCCTGTAAGTATTATATCTGATGTTTTATTATATGTACCATATAATTTTATTTTTACATTTGTATCATTTGATAATGATGAATTTATTTCATTATTTGTTTTTATTTTTATTATATAAGTTAATTTAGTTGGAATATTTAATAAATCATTATTTATTTCTTTATCAATATTTTCATTTATTTCATCTATATTATCATCAATGGAAATTTTTTCAGATAATTTACGTGCACAATAAAGAATAAGATTCATTCGATCAAGTATATCATTTGTAACTGATGAAAATAAAATTGTTTCTTTTACTTTTGGTTCATATTGCATTTGACACATTAATAAATCAATATCACCTTCAAATTGATTAATATATGTTAATAATTCTTGTAAATGTCTTTTATCTTGATTTGATTTAGAATCAAGAAATATTTTATTTATTTCACGTATAGCTTGTTTTAATTTATTATGAGATGTTGTCGTTTCAACTGATAAAATAGATCGATATTCAGGACGATTAAAACGTTCAGCACGAAGCTATCAATAAGAAAATATTTCAGTTAGACTTAATATATATGTTTTGATATATAGTGTGATTTGAAATGAATTTAATTTAGGACATCACTAAGAATAGTATAATCAAGAAATTTTGTAAAACCGCTTTCGGATAGTGAGACGTATTCAGATTCCGTAAGTTTTGAACTCATGGAACTTTCAGAAATGCAACGTCACTCACAGAACTCAATCAATTTCAACAACTGAAGCAACCCTAAGAACTCAACAAATTGTTGAAATTTAGGCAACAGTTCAACTGAAGCGTTTCAAACGAAATTGATATCATCATATTTTGCTTACACACAAATTTTAAACAATTACAGTGGTATCGTACATCCAAAAATTCGGAATATCAAAAATACTACAAAAGGTAGTAAATATACAGTACAATCTTCTCCATGGATATTCAAATATGGGTGTGACTATTCGTGTAGAGAGACAATCAAAACTGAGACCTACAGCCACATCCTTCCGAGAGTTTTGTGAGTGAAGTTGCACTGTTGAGAGTTTCATCAGGCAGAACGCTTGAAATCCAATCATTGTTGCCAAATCTATCAATGTTGATATATGAAAATCGAGTGTTTAGAATTTTTTTTCATAATCATTAATCGTTTTTCATCAATCGATGCTCATGAAAAAATGATAGCGAGAAAAAATAAACTTGTTTTCTATCTTAAACTTGGTTTTATTTTATTATAAAAACCATCGCCTCATATTTGAACTTAGAGAGCAACTGTTTCAATTAATCATTCACTTTATTTGACGAAAACTATTGAAATATAGGTTATCGAGCGTGTTGATCTTGAATATAAATATGAGCAATCTCACTAGGTCTTCATATATTTGGTTTTTTAGAAAACTGATTTTTCAGGCTAACAAAATCTGCTCTTAAAGTTCTAGATTATAGAGCATATCAAATCCCGTAGACAATTGTCTCTATTTCAGTTCCAAATCTTTCTTGTTTTGAAGAAAATACAGACATTTCAATTCATATAACAGATACATGCTAAATTTCAATGTGGAAATCCTCAAGATGGTAGAACCATCCTTAAAGCTCATTTTTAGGAAATAGAAAAGATTATTGTTCTATAGACAACTCGATATAGTTCTATAATCTGAGTAGATCAAAAAAATTTTTTTGACAAATGTTTGTTAATCTAGAACCTACAATCTAGTAGTTTTGAGGGAAGAAAGCGATTAATCAACTGTTACTATTTCCTTGTTAATCTATCTAAAAAGTCTTCATTTTTTTATCTTATCATTCCTTTTTATTTCAAATAGATAAAAATATTTTACAGAATACCTCATAAATATTTCGTTTAGCTCTTCGACAAGCTCGTTCAAGAGCTTGTTGATGTAATCGAAGATCATAATCAATATTAAATGTTAAACAACAATCACGTTGTTTTTGTTTCATATCATTTATTTCTTTTGCATATGGTAATAATAATTGATTAGGTTTTATTTTATTAGTATCTTTATTTCCAATATGATTTGTTGAATATTGATCAATACTATCTGTGGTATTATTATTTAGTATTTGAGATGTATCATCACTAGTTACATAACCTAATTCACGTAATTTTACAAGACCTTTTATTTTACGTTGTTCTTCGTCTTTAAGTTGTTGTTCAATATGATATTGTTCACGTAATTTATTTTGTTGACGTAAATAATCTCGTTGACGTCGATCTTTATTATCTGTTTTAAAATCTCGTTGAATACGCATAATTTTTATTGCTAATATAGTAAAATCTGTTAATGATAAACCTGCATCAATTAAGCTTCTTAAAAGTTTATCTGCTTTTGTTGTAATCATTAATTTATTAGTTTTTTATTATCTTCGAAATATAGAAAAAAATAAAGAAAATAATAATGAATAGAAGTAAAAATATTGTCTCGTAATAAATGCGCGTTTTTTTTTTCTTTTAAAGCCCAGATTTTCGTTGTTTTACTATTAATTTATCTTCAATTAGTTGGTGATAAAATGTTGTTGTACATATAGATCAAAGAAATATGATATTTCATTAGAAAAGTAAAAAAAGGACTTTTTCATCTCATTTTATTGATCATAACTAAATATTTAGATTATTTGATTGATTGAATACATAGTATTTTGATCGTAGTTTTTTTATTTATTTCTTAACTATGATATTTCGAAACTTCTAAATAGATTAAATGGCTTTGACATTAAAATAAATACTTCTTTATGTTAAACAAAATAGATAAAAGACATCGATTT